CTTTGACCTCACCAACAGAAGCGCGCCTGCGCGGTCGGCAGCAGAGCGCACTTGCACAGGAACAATGGCGACAGCGTACGCTTTGGCACCAAGCAGTCTAGCACAGTGGAACCAGCGGGGGACAGTCTACGGAAAAGTCCTCGTGTTGTGTTCCAATTCTTCTTGGCAAATCATGGTTGCCGTATTATTTTGTTCACACGCTGTTTTCGTCTAGTTTTATTTTTCTGTTGGGAAAACCGCATCTCTCCCTTGTAGATTTAAAAGTGCCACATGTTTTATGTTCGTGTTCAATTCTTAAAGGCTCTATTCTCAAATGGGTAAATGGGTAATAGGTATGTATCAGTTTGCGTGATGGCGAACATAAACAAAGTTTGCGATAACCATAGACCTTCCATACTCTGCATTATACAGTCCTCGAAACATTAAGTTCAGGTTTGGGTTTCATAAAACGCCGAGTTTCAGACGAGAAATAGCCCCTGCCTACCGAACTGACGGAATTCGCAAAGGGATTTTTAAGTCGATTTCTAGTTTAAAAACATATCGTGCATTGCACATGGCAGAGGCTTTACGTTTTCGACACTGAGTTTCCGTAACGCTCATTGTTCTGCTAACACGCCTTGTAAGCTCTTTGTCTTCGTATTTATAGAGTGTTTTATGATTTATTTTTCAAAGTTCTTCAATAAACTAAAGTGGTGTTAGTGACTATTTCACAATCTATGTTAAGGTACACAGCCGCAGTGCCCTTATGGATTGGATTTGCGCTCTCAGGAGAAAAACATAGACACTTGTGTTTTTTCTTGACATATGCTAGAGCGCTCTATTTAAGCGTTGCCGCCAGCTACACAGGTTTTTTTTTTCCGGGCGCGATAATAAATGCCACGCTCTAAACGCAGTGACTTCTCAATTACGGTATTAACAATCACTTCATTTCCGTTATCGTTTGTGAGTTGGTTTCACCGGACAAAGTGCGATCCGGCACCCACGGCGGTGCCCGGCCGCGGCCGCTCTCCACCGTCCGCGTCGCGCCGCGTTTCCTGCGGGCGAGATGGGACACCGCGGCCGTCCGGGCAAACACGGCGGCCGATCGCTCATCGTTAGCGTCTCGGTCCCGTGATCCGTGTTGCGTTACAAATCGCGGTCTTGTCAGCCGCTTCATTTCGAGTGTAATGTCGGTGTTTTGGGGAAACATTACAATGATCTCAGCCCGACCTACTAGCAAGTCCCCCCCCCGCACCCCGACTGTCTACCGCTTACCGGCACTTGAGTTGGAAAGCGAGAGCGACCGCCCGAAAAAAATAAATTGCTCAAATTACGGAATAAGTTGAAATTTATGGAGATCTAAACCACTTAGTCTACTTTCATCTCAATTCGACTCTTGCATTTTTGAGCAACATGCTAGTACTTCATCTTCAGCACAGTACATCTACAGCGCCCATTGACTAATAGATGTTATTATTATCTGTGGTCTGTCCCTTGATGCATCGATGAACAGCAATGTCGTACAACTTAATTTATATCTTCTGGCCTGACTGCCCAAACCGTACGTGGCTCTCCCTTTGTCCTCGCCACCGACCGTTTTCGCAATCATGTGCTATTCCATCCATGGCCGGCTACGTGTATTATCGAAAGTGGTTTGACCGAAGATAGACACTGCTGTGTTATGTCTTACGAATGAAAAAGTAAACAAAACACAATACGGGCGATTCACAATAGCGCGCCTCCAAGAGTTTGCAACGCCTTGGCCAATCACAATGCACAAAATCCGTCGACCCTTTCCAAATGCGCATTGGGTCGACGGATTTCGCGCAGTGTAATTGGCCAAAGCGTTGCAAACTCTTGAAGGCGCGCTATTGTGAAACGCCCGTATTGACGGCACCGCCCTGCCCCCAAAATTGCAACGACAATGATTGTCTTTGTTTGCTCCTTCCAACCTGACTCTTCACTGTCTCGTCAGCAGCCTGTGTCTGAGAGTGACAGGTGCATGACGCCGTCCACTTCTCTCTCTTTATGAAACAAATCATGAGACGTGACCAAATCTCTCGCATGCAATCTTTTAAAATTTTAAAGCGGCCCAATCTTGAAGATAGCATTTCCTTTAGGCCTAACATTAATAACCCGGAATGGTCTGATTTGATTTCAACTCAGATAGATGATAGTCGGTCCTACAGAAGGAAAAAAAACTTGGAACCGGCAAATCCTGAGTTATTTTCTGGTATGAGAGTATACGTAAGTCATGGCCCATTTTCTCTTTGTTATTTATGATCCGTTTAGCGTCAGCGTTTCCTCGCCATTCTATTTGAAACATTCCCTTCTCGTCCATTAATATTACTTATATCCATTGATGTGTAGCCTGTAAAATCAAGAATGTCACTTCCAAGACCAAATAAAGGTTTCTTAAAAATAATGGGAGACTCCCGAATCACTTTGGTGAACCAACCGTATTTGGACCACTATAGCCGCCGCGCTGGTGGCCCGTGGGCCTGGGCGCAGCTCCTTGGCCAACAATGAAACGCATCGTTGGAAATTCAAGTAGCGTGTCTTACGCTAATATTGTCTTTTTGGGATTTGCCAGGAAAAGCGACCTGTCACCTGTGCCCGATCGGACAGCGGGCCATCTGCTTAACAGCTTCATCAGTGGTCGTGGACTGTCTGATTTCTTACTTGGAGATGATAGGGATTAGGGGCGGTTATTTGACATTGGTTTGGCTGCGGGAGGGGAGCACAGGGCCAATAAGACCCGGTTGAGCGCTCTCGCGCGGCCGCGGTGCACCTCACATCCAGGCGAATCCCATCCCGATGTCAGTAACGGTTGGTTTACCGAGATATTGCTCCGCCGGCGAGACCGCTGCTGGTTCGGTTGGATGTCAGCTGTGCGCTGCACGCTCCAGGGGGCTCCGGATTATTGAGGGAAGATGACATTTGAGTCAATAAATTAAATTAAAATCGTGCGGGGAAATTGACTTTAGACGGCGGAAAAGTTGTCAGTAAATAATGACAGAACAATTGGATGACGCACGGCTGCTGCAGTTTACCATTGTGATTGAATAACAAGTGTTCCACGGAAAGCTCTGATTTTATGAAGCGTCAAAGGGTTCAAAGAATTTTGAATAGTTAGAAAATAACCGACGCAACAGTAAGGTTTCACCTTCCAGACTAAAGTAAGAAGTGTGCACGTGATGTTTCTTGGAAAATCTCGACCCTTTTCAAGTGTTTTCAAACTTCAGTTTCAATACCTTCCCTCGGATTTTGATAACTTGCGCAAGATTTTCCTCTATTTTACAGATATCCATTTTTCTGGTTTATGCTTTTGTGCGCATGCCTAATCTACAAGCCTAGAAACAACAAAGACCTAATTTCTGTTTTTGACTGGAATTCGTAGTTCTCTGGTGCAGGTGCAGCCCAAGATTCTCCGTGTGTGGAGGCAACCTTGGCAGCTGGAATTACAGGAAATGGGGACAAAAATACCGTTTGTACATGACAACAGCACTTATGAGACACTTATTTACTTCGGAGAAATGACAAAACTATTTCAAAAATAATTGATTTTAAAAAATAATGCCAACAGCTGTGTTAGTATCACGGAGTATCAAGGCTGGTTCATTCTTCAGGCGAATGTCAAAACGAAGCAAATATGACGTCACGAAGCCTTGACAGCGAAATTCGCTCCAAGCTGAAATGTGTTCAGGTTTTGTGAATTTGAGCTATATAGGCGCCAGTATCTACTGTGACCTCATAAAATTGCGTTTGCTTTCGCGCCAAGTAGGAACCGGTCTTTTGGCTTCTGTTTAAGTTAGCCCGGGTGTTAATTTGGTGACGGCTCAAAGACAGCAGATGATAATCACCTCAACATGTATCTGCGACAATTTATCTCCAATTTAAATGAAACATTTTATCACCGAATACATTTCAACTGCTGAACTCAAAGCATGTAAGCACTCGTTTGGGGTACCATTAGTTGCATGGAATGTCATGTACTCAGAATACTTTTTCGAGGGAGCTGAATCTGAGTAGAGCCTGGGACACGATCGGCCTACCACAAGAAAACGTGACTCCAGTGCTCGTAAAAAAAAACAGCTCTTCATTTGCGAAATGAAAGTTATCTGAAATAATTGTTATCAGTTGTGCTGACCACATTCTTTGGCTTAAAAACCTCTGAAATTTTATTCGTTATCTGCTTATCTGGACAGTTCTGACACACACTGTTTACAAGAGAACTGAAATTCTTTTTGAATTTCTTTTGGCAGCCTGTCCGTCAGTCACCACAGTGACATTTTTTTGTATTCGCATGTCATTTGGAACAGTTAACAGTGGGCCCAAGGGCCCGTGCAGGCTCGACGTCTCTCCAGTTCTCCGCAAAATTCTCACAAAACATATCATAATATGGCACCGCACTGCAGGGCTATGAGTGGGACATTCGAAGTCTTCATTGTGGTACTTGATCGCACGATTGGATCGATCCTCAGTGTATGTATGCATAAAGAACTCATTTTATTCGAGTTTCCTTTACATCTGTTTGCGCATACAAGTGAGACTCCTGTCTTCCTCTGGACACGTGAAAAAGGGGGAAATTGGCTGTTATGACGCCCTCAAATATTCAACAACTGTATTTTTCATGTGTGCCTTCTGACAAGAATATGACACATAAAATTGGCAATCATTATTCAAAAATCTAAAGCTGTGAAAAGTATTTGGCGTCCGTATTGGACCATTTACCTCTCGTAGGAGGATACCACCCAGCCGATTTAAGACATCATCGAACGTACCGTAGGAGAAACAGATTCCAAAATGATTTCTCCGGTTTCGGGTTATACTTTCTGGTTGAAAGGACTTGCCGCTCTTTAAATTAAATGACCAAATCTGCAGCAGATGTCAGACAGTTTGGTCGATTTCTTATCGTCACGATTTGGAGGAAAGTTCCGAAGCAGAATCCATGCTAAGTTGAAGTCTCTCTCGAAAGTGAGCTTATAGTTAACAGATTCATTCATTTTGTACTCCATTCAACTCAACAACTAAAATGAACGGTGATTTTTTTTTTTTAATTTTCAATCATTCACTTCTGTTCCGGCGCCACGGGCGATTTCTGTTAATCCCCTCAGAACCTTTGTACACTTTAGTTTCATATTACACATTACATGGAACCGGACCCAACATCAATGAAAATTTAAATATTTGATTTGACACCTTGATCCATGCCTAAAATACACAATAGCTTTTCGGCAGGGTTTCGTTGGTCAAAAATATATGAATGCTACGAGCAACAAACGTTTCTCAGAGCGTCTATGGTGTTCCCAATCTAATATCGAATTCAATAATGATATTAATTACACTTACGGAACAATTTTCGTAAAGTGTGACATATTCTGCCTTTGTTATTTTGAAACTGAACAAGAGAATAGCCTGACGGCCAGAATCTGATGTATACATTCGATTAATTTACCTGAATACTCCTGCTAAAAAGAAATACCAGAACATCATTGAAAGTCTGTATAACTCGCAACCAAATCTTTCCAGTTGTCATCAAATGTATAATGTTGTTGTAATTACAAGCGGAGGTATATAGCCTTGTATAATGGACTCCTCAATTACTAATGACGTTCGATTTATACTTACTCCACCAAACTATTCAAATGGGATTTGAAACTGTTTCTAATTGGAAAAAAACTGCAAATAAAAGGGGAGACCAGTTTGAAACCCCGACCCAAACACTGTAACCGCAAACTGTTGCTACAGTTCGTGCAGTGTGAAGCTTGAAGTACAGCAAAAATAACCAACCACGGAAAACACTTTGTAAACTACAGAGAGCTTAGAAATAGTTCAGACAAAAGAGACAACATCTATTATTTACTTATCCCCCATACGAATTAAAAAAAAAAGAATTTTCTTCCCGATTTGGCAGCAGCACTGGGACCAAAATTATTCCTTGACGGGAGATTTTCACACCAACAACCAAGCTCTTTAGTGGCGCAGAATGGTTAGTTATTTCTGGACACCTCCATCAAACATTGTCGTTGTAAGCACAAGGCATAGCCCAGGCCCCCTTGGTGTCTGTGTACAGAACCTCTTCACCTTTATTTTCACCAAGACTTGGCCCAATGTGAATTGAAATATCACACATTCTTCCTCTGTCCCATCATGACCGAGTGAATGTCATTCTCAGCATGGTTTAGTCGCACTGCATGCATGCAACGCGTTCGTACAGCTGTACCTCTGTGAAATTAGTTACCATCTTGGGCAAGCTTTGGCAGTAACGATTATGTTAATAGTAAGATGAAATGGCAGTAGAGATCTCTCAAACTACAACACCAGACACAACCAATAACGTGCTACATGATCATGAGCGAGGATGTGGAACATGCTCGTCTTTCCCAACTTTATTTTGGGGCGAGTTTTAAAAGTTAATTCTAAATGTTAGCCTTCCCTACACTTCCGATTGTCTATTTACTGACTTTTGTCTTGAGCAAGAAATTTAAAAAGCCGCAAAAATCTGTGAAACGTTTAATGTGATATCTCTCCAAAGTGGACCGTTCCAATTGAAAACGAAACTACAGATTCGTGATACGCATTATCAAAATGACAATTTTTAAACGTTTACAGCAGTGCATGCTCTCTAGCTGAAACCAAATCATCGAGGCTTTGGCCACTCACAAAGCAAAGTTCTGCCAAACCTTTGATGATGAACATTCAAGACAGATTTTAAAAGCTGACATCTTCCTATGAACCAATCAAGCAAGACGTACTTAATGATGTTTAACAAATCAAAGATAGCACTAAACTAAATAATCACCCATTGGTCAGCTTGTGGTGATAGCGCTCTCAAAAATGTTGTTTCACCAAAGCTAATTGTCACGTGACACCAATGAAGATGAATTCGGTGGGAAAATCAATCAAAAAATAAACTTCGAAGGGAAATTCGGATATAAACATCATTATTGTTTCTGTCGCATCGTTATGCACGATTTTTTTTATGTACAATTGGCTGAAGTTAATATTATTTACAATTCTTTGTCAAATATACAAGAGACGATTCAATAAACAAATTGAGAGATACCAAGTACAGATCATGTTGCACAATTAGTCGAGTAGATGAAACGTGCGATATTTGGCAATTATCCAAATACATGCTACATTTGAGGGATACAATCTTTCAGTAAACAGTTGTAAATCTAATCCGAAGATTCGACCCCTTTATTTATCTAAAAACAACAAGTCATGATTTTCTTCGCAACTTTGCACTTTTTGACTTTGTTCGACTTTTCGCACATTTTGTGTACATTTGTTTTCAGCAACATGTGAGAAAATGTTTGGGCATGTCTCCCAGCAGGTCAGATACATTTCAGTAATCCTGCCACCAAGGCTAGAAAACATTCGGTTTGAAGTGTATGTCCTTCTCCTCCGATGATATAAGTTTTCATCTCTCCAGCGAGCCATTCTTTGAAAAGATAATTCGGATTTACTTTTCCAAGTTCTGGATGCAAACATTACGAGCTGTATAACTGTGGATATTCTTTTTGTCAAGCTGCAGATGAGTTTATGATTTACAAAGTTACATTTCATGTGCCGTTCTTTCACGAAAACAGCTCCAAGACCAAAACAATGCAGCAATGAATATGTTTCGTGTTTCGTTCTCTTTGTATCAAATACTTTGAGTGAACATTTTGGTTGGTTAGCTTTACCATGTATCTTTGGGAGCCTTGTGCTGTCTATGCGTATATTTATAACTACGCCATTACCTTTGCCTAACTGCGGCACACAATGCGACATTTTCCATGTCAGCTTAGATTATAATTGAGCTCTGAACAAATTCATAAGTCTGAGAGCGCAACACGGTGACTGATCAGCAAATTCAATTTGTTTTCGACAAAGGGAACCATACAACAAATATTGAATTGTCAGAGATTATGAATCAAGGCACACGACAAAAGCACATGAATGAAAGTCCTGTTAAATTGAGATAAAAGATACCGTCTAGGTACACACCTTTACCCAAGGTGCTCCGTTAGATGTTTGGTCCCATAAAACAAACTCCCAGCAGTCTTGCATGCCACAGCTTCGGCTATTGTCTGATTTTTGTGCTGTCGGTGTAGCTAGACTTGAAGGAATGAGTTACGATTCACAACTATACAAGCGTGGGCCTATTGCACTTGGAAAGTAGTGTACCATCGTGCACGATGGGCCCAGAGGTGGACAGTGAGGGGAGTACAGCACCAGTGTGAGAGGTGACGCCTAACCCGTGCACCGTGGGTTTGATCGGCAGGGGAAACGCCGGAGTCGGTGGGAAAGAGGGCGGAAGGATCGTCCGGCAGTGGGCTGTGTACTCACTCAAGTAAGCCCGCTCCTCCGGTGACAGGGGTGCAGCGCAGCGACTGGCCGCCGAAGCGATCGAGGTCCAGGCCCCCTTGCTCGTGAATGTTGGACTCGGCAGGGTCGAGCTACACGTCGTGGCGGATAAGGCCGGCTGGACGGCCGTGGCGACTTTGATCGCCTGTGGTCCCGGCTTGGCGGCAGAGGGCTTGAAGTCCGGCGAGATTATATTCTCGATTGTGAAAGCTTGCTTCATGGTCGGGCTTGTGGAGGGGATGAAATTGTGCTTGGACGGGTAGGTGGGCGAGCTGGCCGTGCAGCAAGTCATAGCCATGCTCGGTACTGGAACGGCATACGGTGACAGCGAGCCCAAAGCAGCGAAAGGTGGCAGTCCAATCTTCGCTTGCTCTTGGAAGATCTTAGCCGAGTCGATTTGCTTGATCTGAAGATTGTGGTCGATGGCGGTGATCCTGGGAGATTTGAATCTCTTACGGCGTCGCAGGAAGCTGCCGTTCTCGAACATGTCGGCGCTGAGAGGGTGTAAGGCCCAATAGCTGCCCTTCCCCGGGCGGTCGGGACGGCGCGGGATCTTGATGAAGCAGTCGTTGAAGGACAGGTTGTGGCGGAGCGAGTTCTGCCAGCGCTGGGTGTTCTTGCGATAGTAGGGGAAGCGGTCCATGATGAACTTGTAGATGTCGCTGAGCGGCAGCATCTTCTCGGCCGAGTTCTGTATCGCCATCGCCGTGAGGGAGATGTAGGAATACGGCGGCTTTGCGTCGCTGTACGTGCTCCTTGCCGGCCGAGGCATGACTTCAAACTCCTTGAGCAAACAACAGGGGCGAAATCTCGCAAGTTACAAGCACGTTGGCAAACAGGAGTCAATTCTCAGAAGCCTTCCCTGAGAAATTCTGCTGACCTACAGATTTGTTAACAGCCCTGCTTTAGGATGAGCGTATTGGGCTCAGTGCACAAAAATGTCTGGCTCATTTTAGTCGAGTAGGCAAAATGCACAGCTCGGCAGCTTTCCTCCTCAAATGCAAGTTTGTCGTGACATTTTTTAGAGAAGGACTGAGGGTCGTCAAACAGGCATCAGACCGCCGCAAGAACTCTCACAACAACCGCATCTTGCCTCGTCGCCCCCTCTTTTTTTCAAGTTTCAGGAGGCTGTAGGTGATCGGGTACTTAACCAACCAGTTGGCCGGGCCGCATGGTCAGCGGGGCACTGCTCGAACTTCTCAGCCAGCCAAATGAGGCAAAAGATACTGTACCAATGGCGCGTTCAACTGACGAGATCGCATCACGGGGCCCACCAATGTAGGCGGGCGCGCTTGTTGATAAAGCGGCCGGCTCCCCGTGGTGTTCGGTTGAGCGTGTACGTAGACAGAAGGGGCTGTCAATCACGGACTAGGGTGGGCGGACCCAGGCGCAATATAGCACTTAGGCCAAGTGTGGTGATCTTATTATAGCATAGCTATACTCACCTTGTGCGACAATAAACAAGTCAACAAGCCAGTGCATGTATGTCAACACAACAACGACCAGCCAAGCCCGTCAGATATTCTGGTTTCAAATTGATCCTTGGCGGTGTCGTGGTTAACATCACATTGGCAGAATTTGGTTTCACGTACATGTAACATGACATGGCGGTAATATATGGCTCTGGACGACACACGGTGCCATTTAATTGTTCAATTTCGTTCACCCGCCACGACCAATTACCCAAATTAATTTCATCCAAACCAGACGTCTTTTCTTCTCACGAGTAAGGCCTGGAGTTTCAGTGGCCGCAGTTTTTCTCTGACCCGTAATTTGACGTCCCGTTTTGTTTTTGCTCTCGTAATTTAAACGCCTGAAAATGTGACTCCGGCAACAAGTAACAGACGCCGCGGTAAAACTCAAATTCAGTCATGTAACACAATTTGCCCCAAGGGAAAGGAACCAGGTTGTTGAAGGGTTGAAAAATGGGTCCAAAGAAAGCTTGAAATGTTTCTTTTACTTACAATAAGAGAGAACCGAGTCAGTGCAGTCTATGAAGGTTACGGTGCATTTGAACTGCGCGGGCTAAATCTGTGCAGAGCATTTTCACCTGAGGTCTGTTGATGCCTTTCAAGTGCTCTCTGATTTGGCGCCCATACCTAGGCCCCTAACGGCTCAGTTCTTTCACAAGAGGAGGTACACGGCGTCATATGCGCATGTGGAAGTGTTGACCTGCGTCACCGTTCGAACAAAATGCCATCACCGAAAAAAAAATAAAAACTATATATTATAATTAACATCACCGGCGCGCGTTTGGATGGAGTGGTTAGAACGAGAACCCGTGATAGTCTGTATTTTTCCCGCTGGGGGCGCAGTTACTCACAGAATCTATATGTCAAGCCTCGTTCGAAAAACAGGCACTTCCAATACAGTCGTGTGTAAATCCAAGCTGCAGCCCAGACATTTGGACACGGTTGGCATGGTTTCCGGATTCGGTCGATGCTGTCTCGTTCAGTAGGTACAAATAACGAACACCCTTGCCGGTCACTTAGAGGGGAAAAAATCAACTTTAGATACATGTGGTTTGCTCGGCATTCAACAGATGCTTAAAACTATATTTCGAAGATGGGTGAAGAAATATCGAAGGTGTAAATAGAAGATTAAGGTGCCGTGGGGGTTGATTTGAAAATGCTTGCAGACGGAAACAATTTTTCCTGGGGGGGGGCGGTAAATTGGGTGTGGTATTTGAGCTACGGTACCGAATGTGGCTATTAAGTATACTGTTTGAGAGGTTTCTACCAACCTATTGTTCTGTTTTATGTTTTCTTTGAAGTCGATATTGTGACAAAATATGTGTTAATATTCCCGGGGGAAAATGGGGTTCACTCTGATGGCACCGCGCCGCCTCTTCCGTCCGAGCCTCGCGTGTCGCCAGCACCCCTCCATCATCAACTCCATCCTCCTCACTACCGTAAAGGGGAAAAGTTGGGACTTTTTAAACTAATGCGTCCAACAGTCAATTAGGTGGCGATCGGTAAACAACAAGGCCTTCCACCACGTAGTGCGCGTCTTTTGGAGGCAGGAACACATGATGGATGGCACTTAGGGACGAGGCACCGGGAGCGCGAGACAAATCGGCCGGCCAAGCACATGCATAATCCGGATGACGGAGAATCTAGCCTTCCAATGTATATGCTGGTGATTTATAATGCGGTTCATTCGCAGAGAATTTGCCTCACGACATTGTAAGCCCAACTTTGCTGTAAAAGTTTATTCTATGTGATTTTTCATGTTTAATTTATTTTCCACTTCTGAGGGGATTCAATTTGAAGAATCTTGTGAGAAGGTTGCAGCAACATAAAAACAGGGTCAGCCATCTTTGCATTTGGAGGGATAGGGGAGGGCACCCCTAGGGCGAGATTAGCATTTTATTTGACAGAAAATTCGTTAGGATTCACACCGTAACTATATGTTTACACATTGTAACTATATACTTGGATTGTTACAGAAAAAGGAAAGAGGAAATGTTTTAATTTGTCAACAGCGAATTTTGCTTCATGACTCATTCATGACGTCATGGATGACACCGTCGTATATTTTGCTAATGTACAGAGGGCAGTAAGGATAAAAAAAAAAAACTCAGCTACCTCTCAATCAATATCTGGATACGCTTATGTCGCACACCAGCATTAGAATATCAAACTCTCTCGGTGTTTTATGTTTTGAACTTTCTGAAGTGGACATACAGAATCTTCGTAGTTTCACAGAGCAGCATATCGTCCACAGCTTCATCTTATTGTTGTCTGGTCGTTCAGGGATTTTTGGGGCATATTCATTTCTGAACTCAAGGATGACGGAGCGTTCTTCACAAGTCGTTGAGATTTGAGTGCTTAGTAGGGTTAAATTTGCAGTGTGGCAAAATTCTTGCACGTGGTTTGGACGTCACGTACCCTCCAGTCCGTGATGTAACGGAGGCTAGCGCCGTCTCAGAGTTTGAAATGTGGAACTAACTAGGACACTCGTCCATAAACGAATAACCATTAAGTGTCCACTTGCATGACTGTAGGTGGAAGACATTTTGGTGCCAAATTTCGGTATGTAGCATCTTATGTGATTGCTCGTTGCGCGCCTTCATTGCTTGTGTAAAACAAACCCCCACCAGGAAAAAGCGAAACGGATATTTCTTTCTTGTTTGTTTTTCATTAGGCGCAGCTTGTAACATCAGAAGACAAATGGGAAGTTTTAACCCCGACAGGATTATCTTCCATAAATAAACAAAATATGAGATGACTACACTTGGATACTTTGACAAGTACGAAAAATCGCAAGCTAGTGATGACAAGACGTTGCAGGTTGCGTGATGGCAACCGGATGAATTCCCCACACACATCATGTTGAACATAATCTTGACATGCATGGTGGTTAACGGCAAGGCAGCGTTATATCATGGCAATTATGATGAACTAATCCCATGCTAACAACCTTGGGGCTATTGGCCGGTCGGTGGGGGTCAGAGAGGGTGGTGGTGGGTAACAAGGTATGAACTCCACTGAACTTTCTCTTCAAAATTAGGCTTGTGTCGGCTTAACTTAAGTAATTGCAATTGATGTCCATACTGACCGATCATGCGTCCTACACATAGTGTCAACGGCATCCTTGTTTGTCAATAATAATTGCGTGGTACGAAGCCCGTTTGGGGGAAAATCCAGCTCAATTTGGTGCTGTGGAAAAAAAATGGGAGAAAGAACCCACAGAGAGCCGGTGCTGTTAATGCAATTCTTCAAGTTGACACCCGGGTGACGAATGAGGGCTGTTCAACGATTATAATTGGACCGCCTATTTACTTTTCGCACGTTCCCTTGTGTCTGATTTGAGTGAACTCCGGGTGTGTGTTTAGCGGCTCAGGTGCTCTAGATAAAAGCCAGCCTGAGACACCTTCAGCCAGTGACTGATCTTCCGAATTACCGCTACTGAAAGGCACGCCGTCACAAAGGCACAGGGTGCCCTTTGATGCATGGGATCCCAAGTACGTGCGATGTTTTCTTCTCTATATTAACCGTTCCTTTGGCGATCCACCACCGTTACTAATACGCGACAGCTCATTCCCCTGGCCTTCAAAAGACCTCGCGAGTTCGGTGATTTCTAGTTATTAAATTAAATCGAGAAATGCGAACGGCCAATTTAGTGATTACTTTAACTTGTCAACAAAATCAGTTGACCGTGTAGTAGGCTGACAGGGTTTCATTCGAGCCGTGTGGCTGGGTTTATATATACCCGGAACAAGTATCAGCAAACAGAAAGTTTGACTGGTTTATTGAATTTCCCCAACATATAAAATTAAGTGTCTATTCACTACACACCCCATCACAGACGTACATGAGCACACGGGGCCAGAAATGGCAGCATCATTTAGAGTGAGAGCAGGCCATTGACCCGCAAGTTACTATACCACTTGTTGATTACAAATTAAATTGTAAATTAAAAAGTGCTTTCTGGGTTCATGAAAGACAGCGAATCGCCTATTATAAGAAACTTGACAAGTAAAACGATAGGTCACACCAAGAGACCACCACGGTCACAATCGTAGCCTTCCAATAATCCACCCTTGTGATCGGCAGCTGTGTCCAGACTTTGCCGTTGACCTCTGGACGGAGGGCAACAGACTTTATTCATGAGTCGGCCATAATTAATTTGGTTGCGAGGTTAAATCTTTATTTCCGAATGTTTGAGTCTAGAGTAGAAATGAATGCACTAATATCAAATTTCATGACAAGTTAGTACCTCCGATGAATGATTTCAAATTCATGACTTTAACATACACAAGTATACTTTGGTGTTCTAAGCCTGGTTCAGAAGCTTGGAATGCACAGTAATTACACAACCGTCTGGTGCCTGCTTAATAGACAGTGTGCAATTTATGAAAAAGATTAGGGGAATATGATAAAAAAGGCTTCCGCGTGAACACGGTCTTTTCCAGGGGCTTGTTAGGTGCAGAGGGCGCCCTCCTCCAAACGAAAGGAAAGGACTAGTGACGAGGTTTGAACTTTGCGGCACCACTCTGCCAGGATGAGGAAGGAACTGAGGATGACGAATTAGCGAAAAGAACCTACCTATGACTACAAAGGCATCCATTCATCCATTGCCCGAAGATAACAGAAGATTAAACGACTGCATGATAGAAATGCACAGTGGAACCATTTTGTGTTCAATGTTATTCAGGAGATTCAATGGATACATTGTCATAACGAATGTTCAAAAAGGCCCAGGAAAGAATAAGGCAAGCGAGAGGAATAACCCACAGGAGGAAACGGTGATGAAGTGCGCCTACCTCGT